GCAAGAGGCGTGCAGGCGGGCTTGCAGTGTACTACTCATTGTATTGCCAATTGATTTTATAGAACCCCAACTTTTTTCATGGTATTAGAGTACGTTGTCCTGCATGTGAAGTTTAAAAATATGTCTTACACTGCAGATGGTATTGAAAACAACCCTAATAAGGTACAACGTGTATATAAGTTGAATGAACGTGTAACTAGGAAGCACAGAGATTCTTATCAAAATATGCAGACTACAATTTAAACAATCACAAGCAGAGATTTTATGCTCGCGGCACAAGTGACAGGAAGACTTGCAGTAAAGTCTTTTGATCTTTTGGCTCATGTCTTTGCCTTGATGTGTATATATTTTATGAGCAATTCAAATGAAATTTGGCCATAGTAATACGGTTTAATAAAATTCATCTCAACTTATAAATTAGAAGTTTGAAGTTTGATTTCTAAGAATGGATTAGAAAGTTTCTGCAATACGTGCTATATTTACGACGGAAAATAAATACAGACAAGTTCACACATGCACACTTAAAAAAAAAAAAAAAAAAATATATATATATATATATATAAAACTTAATGAATTATTGCATGTGCCTCTAATGTTTTTTATTGGATGTTTGGAATATATTATACACCAAAATTTTTAATGGTAGATGTAAACCAATAATTGAATAATCAACATCTAATCATTAAAGTATAATGTTAGGGCGATTAAATGTGGAAACAAAATTTACAAATTAAATGATGTGTCATCAATAAGAATGACACGTTTAGTAATAAACTAATTAATAATTTTCATGTTCTTTAATCTTCAAAATTTTATCTCTAAATTTAATTTTTCTCGTATTAACCAAATCATTAAAATATAGGAAAACTAATGAAAAAAGTTTGAAAACTTTGAGTTAACTATAAGGACAAAATAAAGGGTAAGGTGAATGGTATCAAGATTGACATTTTAGTATAAAAATATGATTTTTTGTTAAAATAAACAATATCGAGCTAGCTTTTCGTTAAAATATTAATACTAAGTCAGGAAAACACGTGGACACAAAAGCAATCTAAACTACCCACACATCACACAAAGCGCCAAAACGACCACCACCATCAACTGCCACTCCGCCACCCAACAAATCGACACGATCATGATGCAGCAGAGTTCACCGTCTCCCTCCATCGTCCCCAAACGAAAAGAAAGCGAAAATGTACGGCAGTTCACTGAAGCTCTTGGACAGCAAATGGTTCTCTACGGCGGCAAGCATATGGATACAGTGCACCAGCGGCTCCCTCTACACCTTCTCCGTCTACTCTCAGGCCATCAAGACAACGCAGGGATACGACCAGTCAACGCTCGACACCGTCTCCGTCTTCAAGGACTTCGGAGCCAACTGTGGCGTCCTCTCTGGCCTCCTCTACTCGTACTCCGCCAGGTGGCGAAAGGTCTGGTTGGTCCTCCTGGCCGGGGCGGCCCAGTGCTTTTTGGGTTATTTTCTAATGTGGGCCGCCGTCGCCGGCATTATTCCCCGGCCTCCGGTGCCGGTTATGTGTCTGTTCATGTTCGTGGCGGCTCATGCAGTGTCGTTCTTTAATACCTCTAATGTGGTCACTGGCGTCGGGAATTTTCCTTATTATAAAGGCACCATCGTTGGCATCATGAAGGTACATGAAATAAATGATTGCTTTCCTTTATTTGGGCCGATGTTTCTTATGACCAACTTAGATTATAGAGGTAGCTAGAGTGATTTAGCCATTAGATTTTGATCAGTAGTTTAAATCTTTTATTTCAATCTCAGTCATCCATTTCTCGTATTATCAATTTTACATAATATTGAAGAACTTTAACTCGCTTTCTTGTTTTGTAAATTTAAATTACTTTGTATACAAATTATATTAATTATCGAGGCATTTGGGTTGATGTTGCAGAAGAAATTTTTTGGATTCTAGAATATTTTTTTTATGAAATTTTTACCCCGTTATGTTTCCTCGTTTTCACTCTTGTGATTGTTAGGCCAACTCTAACCTATGGCCCAAAACCTATTTTTCCCCTTCTATTCCTCTCCCTCCCCCCCCCCCCCCCAAACCAACAATCCAATCCAACCCAACTTATTATTTGGACCTAAAACCATAGCTAAAGTTAAAAAATTAATATTGTAATCTAATTTCGATCCTATTCTTGTATAGGAAGAGAGTCTTACTTGTACACCAAGCATATACGTCTGTATATAAAAACCATTGTGCTATGAATGAAATTATTAAGTTTATATTTTCTGTACGATATCAATGAGTTAGGGTTAGTAAAACCCCCTTCTATACTTCTCCAATGGTAAGCAGAATTTTTTTACATTCATGGTAAGCAGAATTTAGGGTCAGTTTATATCAATGAGTTAGGGTCAGTTTATATTTTCTTTCATTCATGGTAAGCAGAATTTTTTACATTCATGGTAAGCAGAATTTAGGGTCAGAATTTTTTTACATTCATGGTAAGCAGAATTTTTTTACATTCATGGTAAGCAGAATATTTTCTGTATGATATCAATGAGTTAGGGTCAGTTTATATTTTCTGTTGTGACATGGTTAGCAGAATTTGTTTACCTGAGCCTCATTTCATCTGATGCTGACGAATCTTATATTGATTCAATCCCGGTTACCATGTCAGATTCAGTCCCTTCTTGAGTACTTTGTGATTTAAATTCATGGACTTGATGCTGATGAGAAGTTTATATTTTCCGTGTTAGGGGTTTCTCGGTCTGAGTGGAGCAATCTTGATTCAAATATACCGGACATTTTTGCACAAGAAACCGGCTTCATTTCTTCTGATGCTGGCACTGCTACCTACCGTAAACACATTGTTGCTTATGTGGTTTGTGAGAATCCACAGCAAGTGCGAAGGAGACGAGAAGAAGCACCTAAATAGTTTGTCGCTGATTGCGCTTGTTGTTGCGGCTTATCTTATGGGGTTTATAATTTTAGAGAACATCCTTACTTTGCGTTTTGCCATACGCTTCGTTGCTTTTGTTGCACTTCTGCTACTGCTTGCCTCACCTCTTTGCATTGCAATTAGAGCACATAAAAGGGAGTCCGATAGAGTTGCACAGACTTTATTAGTTGAGGGTGGCCAGTTAACAGATACCGAGGTCAACTGGCGAGATAGTGGGAAAAGGAATGAGCAAGATTGTTCTGGGTACCGTCATTTGCCTAGCAATACTGATCAAGAGTTGGATAGTAACGATGAAATTATTTTGCAGTTGGGAGAAACTTTTAATCTACTCCAAGCTATGTGCACTATGGACTTCTGGATTTTGTTCATTGCCATGGCATGTGGAATGGGATCGGGACTTGCCACAGTGAATAACCTCAACCAGATAGGAAAATCGCTCGGTTACTCAACCTTTGAAACCGGTGGTTTGATTTCTTTGTGGAGCATCTGGAATTTCGTCGGGCGTTTTGGAGCTGGTTATGTATCAGATTATTTCCTGCACGCAAAAGGATTGGCGAGGCCATTGTTCATGGTCATCACTCTAGCAGGCATGAGTGTTGGTCACGCTGTGATTGCTTCCGGTATGCCTAGCGCTCTCTATGCTGGATCCTTACTGGTGGGCGTCTTTTATGGTTCTCAATGGTCACTAATGCCCACAATCGCTTCTGAAATATTCGGCGTGCTACATATGGGCACCATATTCAACGCCATTACCGTAGCCGCGCCTGTGGGATCTTATATCTTTTCTGTGAGAGTGATCGGCCATATTTATGACAAAGAAGCGTCGGGAGCTTGGGATACATGCGCTGGAATTCGCTGCTTTAGGTTATCATTCCTCATTATGGCAGGAGCCACCCTTTTCGGATCTCTCACTGCCTTGGCTTTGTTCTTTCGGACGCGGAGTTTCTACAGTCAGGTAATCCTCCGAAGTACCGCTATGTTATGTGCCGGACTAGTGATATTTTTGCTGCCTAATTCCTCAATCTAGTCGTCTTTGGGACAAAACCTGCGTAATATATCAGATTGCTGTGATAATTTGAGTGCTTTCTATCCTTGCAGGATGTTGATGTATCCAGTAGCAACACATAGCTATTCTCTCCTGCTGCATTTCAAACACCTATGTGCATTTGTCACAATATCACATTGTCAAATTTTCGAATCCCAGATGGTTTTAGCATCCCAAGCTGCAGCTTCGACCTTCGTCCGATCGGATTAGCAACTTAATTTCTCTGTGATATCATATTAATGTGTTATGTGAGGCTCATGTGCAGTTTGTTAATGGAAGAATTAACAGAACTTTCAATTTTGGATTTGAATAACGGATTTCACAACTAGTGGACCATCAATCCGATTTGGCGTATCGTACACATGAATACTATTTCAGAAAAAAAAGAAAGAAGAGTGACACGTGAAAAGAAGTGCGTAAACTTATATTGATACATATACACTTAAAAAAAAGATACGATTATTTGGTGTCAGTGTGAAATGTTTTCTGTGTTAATAAAGAACATCGTCGTCAGTTCAAATGAATAAATAAAGAATCAAATTAAATTATGTACGATTGATTCTGTCAGTTTTCGTAACTAGCATCACTATTGTCCATAAGCCTTTCACAGTAGGCATAAAAAAAGAGTTTGATTTCCATTTTATAGGAATCTAACGCTTACACTAGCCAAAACATTAGACGAGTTATACGATTAATACATAGAACTTACTACTATCAAATTCATACCATTGTAAGTGTTCGTAGGGTTCATAACCAATAATAATTATGTTATAGGAATCAAACTTACTTAAACCACTATGAAAGATTTTTTTCACCACATTCTTGGAATCCAACTTGAGACCAAATTTTTGTTTTTCAAAGAAACCAAAAAACTTTTGAGGACCAAAGTGGAACAAGCTCTTAAATTCAGAGACCAAATTTGTAATTAACTCTAATTTTATTCTACAAATAATAAATAAATAAAAAGGTGCCCCCATAAGAAAATCAACAAAAAGCAAGGTGGGGTTTGGGGGCTGTCGTCGGGGTTTCATTCATCACTCTTCAGAGCAAGAAATCCCCAAAATATTCTTCTGTCATCATCCACGCTTCGCACTGTAATTTGAATTTGAAGCAGGTTTCCTGAAATTCGAATTGGAATCAGCGGAAAGTGAAGAGCTTTGAAGCGAAATCAAGATGAAGACGACGAAGGGAGGGAAGGTGATGAACCCTACGGACGCTTACCGGAAGGAGCTCCGGAAGAAGGAATTGAAAAGGGTAACGATTACGTATCTTAGTACTACGCCGTTTTGTGCTCTTCTTCTTCCGTTAATTCCTTGATTCCGTTCTCGATTCGCAATTGTGTCGATCGATTTTCACAGTTTGGGACTCCATTGTGTCTGATTTCAATTGAAATTTGAAATTTGATACCTTTTTAATGTAATTTTACTCCGGATTGGATTTTGGCATCTGCAAATTTCCCTTTGCTGAGCGTTACCGAAGCCGTCCTTGGTTTATTGTAAATGGAATTGATAGCATTAGGTTTGTGAAAACCTGAAAGGCTGATGCTTTTATATCAGGCATTTTGCACAACTGCACACACTTTGATCTTAGCCGAAAAGTATATATATGTGTGTGTGTGTGTGTGCACTGACGTTTTTGGAAAGCAGACGCATGACCATGATGCTTAATCAGTATTACCTGACGTTTGTGAGTTTCTTCTGCTAAGAATTTGTGGTAGCATGTGTTTGTGCCTCCTTATCTTCGATGGTAGATGTTACCCGTGTTTAGTAAGTAACGTACACGTTTCCTTTCACCGTATGATGTGTGCAATTCCAAAATATTTCTCTCTTTAATACTGTTTCTTGTGTTCTTGACAAGCGTATTGCATCGATTAAATCTTTATTTATACATTTCTGACTTTGTTTTATCTATGCCAACAGAATAAAAAAGAACGAAAGAAGGTGAGAGAGGTGGGGATCTTGAAGAAGGATCCCGAGACGCTGAAGGAGCAGATTGATAAGCTGGAAATGATGAGTAAGTCACAGTTTACTTATGACTTCTGGTTATAGCCTTTTTATAGAAGGAATGGTTATAACTTATAGCTGTTATATATATAATAGTGGATCTATTTTCATGTTTAATTTTATTGAAAGTTGATTGTTTGAATGCTTGGAATGGTATTCATGTATAAAAGAATGATTTTTTTTCTTGAGAGGAAAATTTCAGTTTGTGCTTTATTATGCCTTATGTCTTGCTTCAATTTGTCTAGATTTTTTATTTTCACTAGTTTGATTTTGATCTGCAGCCAAATCATGCTGCTTTTCCTGTTCACACACTGATGTATTTGACTGATTGGCGCAGAGGCTGATGGCGCTCTTGACAAAGCAAGAAAACACAAGAAGAGGCAACTAGAGGATACACTTAACCTTGTTATAAAGAAGCAGAAGGTAATTGTCACATATAACATTATTGTTTTTTTCATTATACCTATTTGTCTTTCTAATTCAACTAGCCACGTTGTTTTATGATGCTGCACTGTGATCTTCGATTGGCCACATCGTGGTTCAAGGTCCTCTATGTTCCCTTCATGTTAATCCAGTGTGCCTTTTTGTTAGAATGAGTTTCATACCTGCAATGATCAGACTCTTTTGTACAGGAATATGTAGAGAAACAAAAGGAAAAGGGCGAGGTCCCAGTTATGTTCAGGTGAACATTCTCTTTTCCCATTGTATTCTGGTGCTAGTGGTCAAATTCTTAAAGACAGTTACTGTGATTGTTTGTTTTGATGTATGAACTTTAGTTACTTTTTCTGCTCAGTCATTTGGGGCCGCCTAAAAGACGAACGACCGCAGAAGAAGAGGAGAGAGCGAAGCATCCGATGCCTGAGGTAAGATATGCAGGTTTCTAAATGCTCTTTTCAGGCCTTTCTTTTTCTTTCTCATTATATAAAACTCAAAATTTATTTCTTCTTTTTTCTTCTGCAGGACTCAGTCTACTACCATCCGACCCTGAATCCTACTGGTGCCCCACCACCTGGAAAGCCTCCAATGTTTAAATCATCAATAGGTCTGGATCAACCCCACTCCCACCTCAATTTTGTGTATTAATGTGACCACTTTACTTTCTCTCGCTTATTCTATTGTGGAATTTGAATTGCAGGGCCAAGAATTCCCCTATCTGCTGCTTCGTCAAGTGGTGCTGCATCATCCTCAAGAATGGAGTCAGAGGATGCTGTACCTGTGGCTGATTCTGGTAACAATGGCCCTGGTGATGGCTCTGTCGTACCTGAGTCTTTGCCTCTACCCCCTCCACCTCCATTGCCACCTAACCCTGCAGCTACAAACCCAGATATCTCATTGCCACCACCACCTTTGCCACCACCTCCACCTCCACCTCCAGGACCCCTGCCTACAGAGCCGATTTCCAATCGCCCATTACTTCCCCCTCCTCCACCTCATCAACAGTTAGCACAGCCGCCTCCTCCTGGTATCAGTGGAAATGAGAAGGAACAAAATCAATCTACATTGTCTGATCAGTCAACCTCTAAGGACTCCATGCAGGTAAGCTTTTCCTTAATGTCAACTGAGATATATCTTCTATATTAAAAGGAATAAGAATTAACAGAGGTGTAAAATAGTGGATGATATTAATTATGGCAAATTATGGAAGTTGCTTGTATATACTTGACTGGTAAGCCCTGAAAGGGTGTATGTGTAGCAAGGCGTATCTCAAATTTGTAGGCCTTGAATTATTCTTTTTAAGTTTTTCCGTTTATGAAAATAATGCCTCCTCCTCTGTCGTAGGTGCCTACCATGCTTCCTCCTCCTCCTCCGCCTCCCGGTTTACCGCCTAAGGCAACAAATAATCAGTTGGGAGGTGCAACATCTGATGCTGAAACCAATAATACTATAGCGACCAAGGATTTCACTAACATGCTTCCACCACCACCTCCTCCTCCAAGACAACAACCTCCGGTTCCTGGACCGACCCTTATTCCAAATTTACATTCTGATGTATTACCTCCAGGTATCGCACGTTTTCCTCCACCCCCACCTCCACCAGATATGCGGCCGCCATTGTCCACTCCTGGACTGCCCACTCGACCAGGTCCCCCGGGAATGATGGTCCCAATGATCCCCAGGCCCCCATATGGTCCTCCCCCTGGACCTCCTCCAATGATGAGACCGCCACTTCCACCTGGCCCCCCTCCTAATTATCAAGAAGATGATTATGCTGCTCGAGTGGCTGCTCATCAGAAACCTTCATATGTTAAATCTGCAGCATCTACTGTTGTTAAGAGGCCTCTGGCTCAGCACACTCCAGAACTTACGGCCATGGTGAGTTGATTGTCTCACTATCAATAAGGTGTAACAGTCTTATGCTTTGCATGTTTTTACAACACGTATTGAACTTGATAAGCATTATAGTGTGTAATTTCTGCATTTAGTTTTTTAACCTTTTAAAGGAAGATAATTGGAATGGTGAGATGGTGGTGGTGGAGATTCATTGATGTTATAATAAGAGGTAGTAAGTTTAGACTTCTATCGAGTTTCAAGGACCTTAGTTTTGTCAATGTCAACGAAATCAGTAGCTTTATGGGATATTGGTATTGTGTTAGCACTTCTTTCATGTTTTGTAATAATATTGTTTTCTCTATTATTGCAAGGTGCCAATTTCCTTCTATGACCCTAGTCTGTTTTTTGGTTCTGGATGTAGGTTCCTGCATCTGTTCGGGTAAGGAGGGAGATGGCTGCCCCAAAAGCAAAAGCAAAACCTTCACTCCCAACCACAGCAACACCTACCCAGTCAGCAACTCCATCTGTTAAACCAGAGTCAGCGAACTCATCATCAGCACCAAAGGGCAAGAGCATCGATGACTCTTATATGGCCTTCCTGGAGGACATGAAGGCGCTCGGAGCACTTGAAGGTTGACATCCAGCTGTTTAGCGGACACCAAGATAGAAATAGCAACAAAGAGAGTACAGCGAAAAAAGGTAGCATGCGTGTAGCCAAAGGAAACAGAAGTCGAGCTGGAGACAGATGGTATTCCCTTTTATTGCCATTAACATAGTTTCCTACTGCATCGTTTCACGAAGAAATTCAAAACAATACCAGACGTTGAGATGGGTGTAATGGGCGGATTTTTAGTAGGAAGAAGACTATAGATGTCTTAGAAATTCAGAATGTACTATATATGAAACAATCTTTTGTTTAAAATAATTTCGCACTGCTCGTTTGTTCCTTTTTTCTTACGAAAGGGTAAGCATTGCTTAATCTTCTTCGTAGCCTAGAAAGGCTATATAAGAAGATTCTTACTATCAAATAGTTGTGGAGCAAATTTTCCCCCTTCTCCCCTCCTTTTTGAATCCAAATGCGTTCTACGATTGCACGAACAACCGGCCTTTTGTCGTGCCGAAGCAGACACAAGTTCATCTTGTCAAGCAAGCTGGTATTGCCTTTGCCTGCTTGAGATCGGGGAAACTTGCATAAACTATGTCTTTGTTTCAGCAAAAGGGTAAAACCCTAATCACCTATCCTTGGTATGGCTGCTTTTATGCAATGTAAAACTTTAGGACTGCTTCTCCCAAAGCTTTTCTTCAATCTTCAATTTGTTGTTTGAGGAAACCCGGAAACTAAAATGCTTAATGGTCATTGAGATTTGCATAAGACATAACTTTGGTTCCTAAGATTTAAAATCAATAGAAGTGGTCCATGAGATTGTCCACCATCCATTATTTTAGTCATTCCGCTAAAAAAACTCCGTTAAGTTGAGAGTATAACACATAACTTTGGTCCATGAGATTTGTATAACACATAACTTTGATCCTTCCATTAAAAAGCTCAGGGACCACTTAACGGACTTTTTTAATGGAATGACCAAAATAATGGATGATGGACAATCTCAGGAACCACTTATATTGATTTTAAATCTCATGGACCAAAGTTATGTCTTATACAAATGTCAGAGACTATTTTGACTAAAAATCCAAACTAAAATAAACCAAATAATTGAAACTTGCAACATACGTTTACCAAAGTTAATAAGCTATCAATGAACTGCAGCAGAAACTGTAGTTTTCGTTGTTTGTGACGATTTGAAGCGAAAAGTGATTCTGTCGGTTTGTTGTTTTTGAATCCCAGATGAATGGTTCAATCTGTTTCATGCTTCTGTTCTCCAAATCGTTTCTCGAATGCTTGTTCTCGTTTCCGCAGTGAGAGAATTCAAGTTGGTCTTTCTCTCTGCCTCGGTGTTTGTTTGTTCTTCATTTCACATTTTAAAGCTTATGCTTTTGTATTTCATCATTTGAATGAAAACAGGACCACCTGAACAGCAAGACACGCCTCTCAAGTTTTGTTCATACAATGAAAGCGTCTGCTGCAACTCCATCCAAGATTCGGGGTTGCAGAAGCAATTCCAATCAATTAGGGTCTGTTTGGTACTTTACTTGAACCCAACTTTTTAAACTCAAAAACAATTTTCAAGTTTTAGACTTTAAAAACTTGTTTGGTACGACTATTTTAAAAAAACTGAACTTAAGACTAATTCAAAACTACAGTCTATTATCTAAAAACACAAAAAGTAAGTTTTTGGAGTTTTTAAACTTAAACACACTCATTTCTTTTTTCTCCCTTCTCCCTTCTTACTCCAAATCTATCTCTTTCTTTCTCCACCTTCTCTCTTTTTTTATTTTTTATTTTTTATTTTATTTATTTATCTTTTTTGTCTTTCTTTCAATTCGCTTACTTCATTCTCTCGATTCTTTCTCTCACTCATCTTTCTCTATATCTCCTCCGATCATGTCTTACTTTCTTTCCTCATCTCTCATCTTTCTCCCTCGACCCTCTCTTTTTGGATTTCTTTGTCCAAGTTTAAGTTGTAAGATTTAAAATTTTAAATCGTATACCAAATAAGTTTTTTAGCCTTAGAGAAAATTGTTTTCAAAAAAAGTTCTCAAGAAATATTTTAAGAAATGACAAAAAATTTCAAATAGGATACCAAACAAGCTCTAAACGTCTTAGATCCTCTTGTGCTTCTCCCCTGAAATCGACCATTTGGTTAGTAATCCTCGTCTTTGAGCAATGTGTGGTTGTTTTCACTATAAACACTAAAAAAAAAAAGGCAATTTTCTTTTGCGAACTTCTGTTCTGACATGATTTTCAGGCATGTGATCAGTTTTCTGCTCAAGCCATTGCAAATCGATTCTGCGCCTAGAAAAGTGCCTGTTTTGTGCAATACCACGGATTCGGGGAAATCTCATGAGTCCCAAGTTGGACATTCCATCGACTTCTGTAAAAAATTATGGAATTCATGTTGTAATTTATCTCCTTTGAGTTACCAATTTGCTCCAGCAATCCAAGGCAGAGTTGGGATGCTGCAGCACAATCCTTTTCCTTCCAAATTGACCGACCAATGGCACTCGAAAAAGGAATTTCGTGAAACGTTTGGTGGGTCAGAAGATGCTGTGTGTTTTAATGGAAAACCAGTATCATTCCGTCACGAAAAAGCCTCACCTCCATCCGGTCTCTGCCTTGAGAAAATCGCAAACGGGGCTTACCTCAACCTATTCCACATCCTGATGGTTCCAACCGCAATTTCGCGTCTAACCAACAAAGCAAGATATGGCTGGCAACTCTTCCTGATGTTGGATCAAACGGGGTTTTGGAGATCAACAACTCTGAACCCTTTCTTGACATTAGGTACCGTTTGGTACGTGGGACGGGACAGAACAGAGTGGGACAAGACGTTCCGTCCCACGTTTGGTGCACCTAAAACGGATGGAACGAGCTGTTCCACGGGACGAGTTTTGGGTGAATTTTCGTTCCACCTCACCCCCCTGGAACGACTCGTTCCACATCCGTGGAACACAAAATTATAACTTCTCCGTCACCTTCTTCTTCCTCCTTGTTTCCATTCGAGGGCATCTTTGCTCCCGCTCCGTTCCGTTCCATCCCGTCCCGTCCAATTCCGTTCCGTTCCGTCCCTATGCATACCAAACGATACCTTACTGATCAAGTGCTCTTTGACACTAAGTTTGGCCTAATGAGCATGGCATTTCACCCAAACTTTGTACGCGATGGACGCTTCTTTCTGTTGTTCAATTGAGTTGAATCATCCAGGTTGTGCAGGCAGATGCCAATATCATAGTGTTATTGCAGAGTTTACTGCCAAGGGTACATAATCAGAGCCTTCCTTGGCATAAATTCACACTTCTTCAAGCTTACTTTTCAGAAAACTATTTCATCCAAAATTTGAATTATTTCAATTCCTGAATTTCCCTGCATTTACTAATACATATGGAATCATGAATCAGAGTTGATCCCATACTCATTCCTTCTTTCCCTTCCCTGATTCGTGACTTCCAACATTCCATGTAAGTAAACACGGTAGTAATGTAATTCACCGACGAGCTTCTTATTTGCTGCTTATGTCTTAGGCAAAAACTGCAAATCCATCAGAAGTGAGAAGGATGCTCACAATGGGGCTTCCATCCCAGGGAGGGTCTTTTCGGGCCTGCGCTTTGGATGCGGTCCCTAATCTTTAACATTCTTTGATTAAAGCCTTAATAGTATTCAAAGTTTGATCAAGGTTCCTTGACTTTGCACACCTCATTATATTACTATTAATATTTATATTTTTATAGTTTTGACATTAATTGTTTGATATTTTATGAGATTTATAATCCTATAAATTTAAAATGCCTTATTATAATACTATTAGAAACGGTTACAATAAAAAAAAAAATTCGAACATTTTGATTGAATAAATGGATAAAAAGTATGTAAAAATAAGAAATAATAAATGGCAAAAGAATGTATCCATAGTGTTAAATTGAAATTGGTACATTTCACATATAACAAAGTGGTACATTAATAAAGAAGAATGGGTACATTATAAATAAATTAGGGTACAGATAAAAGATTAAAAATTATGAGTAAAAATGAATTTTTAAAAATATAGGCGCTAAAAGAAATTAATACATGGGTACAAAATAAAACTAAAAAGAAAATACTACAAATTTTAAAAAAATGTTGCAAATTAAAAGTGGGTACAAACTAAAAATATAAATATATGATACAAAGTTTAGGCATAAAACATAAATATACCATATGTAATTTTTCTATCATTTATTAAATATACAATGTCATGTGACGGTATACATATGGGTACAAACACAAATAAAACTTTAAAAAATATGGGCACAAAAAGAAACTAATATATGGGTACAAATTAAGAATGAAAAGAAAATTGGTACAAATTAAAAATAGGTACAAACTAAAAATAAAAATATATGATAAAAAATTTAGCCATAAACATAAATATACTAATTGTAACATTTTTAACACTAAAGGAATATATATGTAAAAATAAAAATATTTTATTATTCAAATAATTAATGATGTTATTAATACCAAGGACCTTGATCAAAAATTGAAAATGAATAGGATTTTAATTAATGGAGTAACAAAAAGAAGGATGTGAACCTAATTTTCCCATTTCTTATCCCTCATGATGGGAGACTGTTCAAATCGAGATGACCCTTACAATTTTGCACAGAACAAGAGATCCTCGTTTGGAAAAATTCTGAGGCTTGACATAGATAACATACCAAGTAAGTCCTACAACTTATTTTTGGACCTGCAGTTGCTTGAACCGAAAAGATACTAGACAGAAAATAAGATATACGCCTTATTGTCTGTTTAATGTCACCGAATTATGTTTTCTTAAGTACATATGTCTTGCTTCTTTGATTTCTCAAAAGTTCATGAAGAGGTTGACAGAGTCACAAAGGGAGGAAACTATGGGTGGAGAGTTTACGAGGGTTTCATTCCTTTTCAACCAATAAAGTCTTCGGGAGGAACTACTTCTGCTAGCTCCATAAAGGACCTGCTTCATCAGCCTCCATCACCGGCAGCTACTTCTGTCGATGACTGATCCGTGCATGCATAAGAAGTTAGTGCGCTTTTAGTGCCCTATCCATGCATGCATGCGTTGAAAAATCTCATTTCTACTCAATTTTCTTTATTTTTTATCTCATTTATGATATAGGTAAATTGTTCTACGGTGTTAGAATCATCGTTTAGAACTTAGAGTCTAGGTTTTTTAGTCTCGAATTGATTAATCGCTTTGATTTTAGCTTGTGAGCCCAAAATTTGATTCTTGGAACCCTAAACCGAAGCTCTAAACGATCATTCCAAACCCACCCTTCCTCTACATAATCTTGCGTGAT